AGGAGTTCTAACCCTATGAAAGAGGTTAGATGCTTAGTTAAAATATCATATATTATTACAATATTAGGCTAATTAAACCATCCTAAAGCTACGGAGAGGACATAATAAATTTTTTGGGTAATAAGAACTAAAGATTTAGAGCTAGAGAGCAATAAGGTATTCATATACAAGGATTAGTCTATAAGCATTGCTTTTGAATAAAGATGTAACTATGCTTTTTAATATTTAAACATTATCAAATGATTATTATAATTTAGCACATAGAGCTTCCTTACCTATTATTTAAAGATGAATGCACATCTTATTTTAGTACCTAGAGCTAATGCGAACCTACTTAAATTATGACAATTGAAACTATAAAGAATAGAGAGAAAATCTATTTTTTTTTTGGAGAGTGCAAGAGAGGTCACAAAAAACACATTCAATTACATGTCAATTCACTCATGCTAAAATAACATTATATTATTACTCAACATTAAGAGAAGTGGTTAAATTATGCTTAAGATAACTAATCAAGATGGAGCAAAAATTAAATTCTTTGACCTTTCTTATCTAGTCTTGTACATACGGAAGAGAGGATGAGGTTTGAGGAGAATAAGGAGGCACTTGTTAGTGACCTACCCTTAAACTCAATTGATGTTCTTGATAAGATGCAGAAGGAGATGTGGAGTAGTGGATGGAGGGTAAGTAGGTGGAGGAGATAAAGGACAATCTCTTAGTATCATGTTTATAGATAAGGAGGTTGAGAAGGAAAGTGATGAAATCACATTCTTTATCATTATACATAAGAGTAATAAACAATTAGTAAATATAAACAAAGACAATAAAAATATATTTAACTATGAATTTCACAAATCCATCACGAGAAAGATACGAGCTTGTGAGTCCATGTTAGGGAATTTTTTTCATGATGTTGCCGAGTCAATCACGTATCTTAAAAGATTTTTATCTAAATGATCAAATATGTCATTTGAAGAATAATATACTACCCTGAGAGGCAAAAATATTACTTTAAAACGAATCTAATCATTCAAATAATGAAAATCTTTAAGATTTATAGGTCTACATTAACCAAATATTTTCTTATTCCTTACAAGTGTAAGATATGATTTATTTTATTTTGAAGTCTACTACACATTTAAGGGCAAATCCTTATATTTAATTGCATCCTAGGAGTTGTGAACCTATGATAAATTCTTCATTAACGTATTAGCTTGTATCATTTAAGATTTCCTCATTGAATGCTTCAAGATTTGTGTTTGAAGTTTTTCAAATAAGGTTTGGTTGACTCAGTGATTTAGTTGATTCGATTAACCCGGTCAGGTCGGGTTGACCCGGTGGTTTAAGTTGATTCGGGCTAACTCGAGTGAGGTCTGGTTGACCCGGTGCTTTAGTTGATTTAGGTTAGCTCAAGTTAGGTCGGGTTGACTTTGTGATTTAAGTTGATTCAGGTTAACCCGAGAAGAGTTTTGCATGGGAGAGAAGTCTTGGAAAGAGAGGATTTTCTTAATTTTCTTATAGAGTTGTAAGAGGAGAGAGAATGTGAGAGATTTCTTCTTCATTACATTTCTAAGAGAGAATTGAGTGTGATTGTAAAGAGAGAAAGTGCTTAAAGGGAACTTCAAGAGATTTCATTGAGGAGTGTTAGATAAATTATGGTCTTCCCTTTAATTATTTTTTAAACTTGTTTTTATATATAAAATATATGTTTTGTCGCATTCTTGTCATGAATTATGAGTAGTATTCTTTATCTTTCTCCCTACAATGAGATATAATTTTTTGAAGAATTAGTTTTGTTATATAAGGTTTTAAATGTCAATAAATTGTGACGATTCAAACTCTGATCTTCATTTACTTTTCGATCTGACTAATTAAAATGTTAAAATTTGTTGAGAAACATAAGATCCAAAAGGGTTATGCTTTTTACAATAAAGAAAGAGTCACATTCAATTTCATGGGTGAGAATGTAGTCTATGGGGTTGCGTGCAAATAAAAAGGAAAATATAATTTGATGGACGCAAAATTAGAGATTTTAAGGTGACATATTAAAATCCCCAATTTGGTTCAGATGCTTGGAAACTAAAGCAAATTATTAGCCCTCAGGGGAGGGAGAAGTGAGAGCTATGGAGTAGCAGCCATTCTCCTCTCAACCTAACCATGGATTTAGGGACCAAACTCTGGATTAGTCAATGTTATTTACGTACACTCAGAGGGTAAAAAATAAGATTGCCCCTACTTGTCACAATACAATTTTATATGTATTTAAAATGATTTTAATTACTTCATAATCCATAAACTCATTGTAAAGGGGAATGATACTTTCCTAAATTTTAACTCTTCGTTATAAAACTTTGTTTAGTCTTTATAAGTTTAGTTTTGAAGCTTAGTAATTAGTTTAGTTAACTTAGTTATTTTAACTGCATTCCATTTAACACACATTAAATTTTCCTTAGATTCATTTTGCTTACTTAAGTTTTATAGTTTGAATATTGTGTTTGACGTTATGACCATAAGAATTTTCAACTCTATGTTGGATCGATACTTAGGAATCCATTAGAGTCCTTTATTACTTGAGCGATACGTATGCTTGCATTATTATTACGGTTTGACAGCTTAAATATTTTAAAAGATAAAACTATTTAAACTAAATTATTCTTATTGGGATTGAATTGCATATTTACTATTTGTACTACTGTGAGGGTGTTGTAATATTGAAAGATATTGGCAACGCACCACAAAAACCACTGCATCACCCAACACTACTATACATGCCAACACCAACTTTAGATTAGCCAATGTTATTAATGTTTGGAAGATGTAAAGAATATGTATGCTTCTATCTATCACAATACCACAGTAAAACCTCTAAACACTTGAAATGTTACACTGATTATGAATTGTTTGCAAGGAGAAAGTCTCTTTTTGTATATATCTTGCTTTTAACTTCCATTTGTACGAATTAGTAAACTTTATTTCAATGCATAAACTACTTTAAATATTTTCTGCAGTCTTAATTAAATATTTTTCAAAGTTAAATTACTTCATTCCTTTCATTTTCCTGTGGGATTGATATTGAGGTTTTTAGAGAAAACTCTATATTACTTGAAACGATACGTATACTTGCGTAGTACCCATGGTAAAAAAACTATTAATCTAAATTTTATAATAATATATTTGTTCTCACTAGCCGTTAAATATAAATTAGGTAAATATTTTGGCCATATTTGGAACATTAATATCTGCGTAATTGCGGGTTGGGTCAAATTTTTTGACCCCAAGTGTCAATTGTATCAGGGAGGATATTAGAGAGATTCATCATAATATATAAAAGTTTTCAGAATAAAAATCTTTTTATGTGCTAAGTAAGGTGTCAATCGCCTGAGATATGCTGAGCAGTACATTAATATTGTCGGTTAGCTTGTTTCAACTGTCAGGAGCTAGACATCATTTTTGAGGTACTCGCCTCCTAGCCAAAGCCTAAAAAAAAAAGACAAATAAATTTTCAGACTCTAGATCTGTTGCATGAACTCCTTATCATGCTCATTGTTTAAGGGTCTTTGAGATAAATTTCTTGTCATTGGTGTCTCTTCCATTCTTGTTGGTAGCATGCTCACGCTCACTGCTCCTTTAGAAAATTAAATCTAACTTTTTTATATGAGGCATGCCCAATAATCAAAATAATAGTTGCCTAGAAATATAAGTTGAGAATAAAAGAGAAATAAATAAACGAGCACGCAAACTTGTCTTGTAGGGGGAAATTGAGGTACTCCGAGGCTCTGCTACCCATATTATATATTGAAATTGAAGGGTTACAAAAAAGAATAGAAGATAGATCGCCTTACAAAGTATGGGTCTAGAGCGAAGAGCCAAAATTCCTTTTTATCTGTATTTAACCCCTATTTATATAAGATAGAGGCATAAAATGAAAAATTACATATCTACCTCTATTTTAAAAGAGAGTTGCAAAACATTATTGTCTTTTACCATGACTTTTTGTATTTATAACTAATTTCAGCATTTTTAATGTATATAGGCCGATGTGCTAGTGACAGTCGGCAGGATCTTGAGTCAATCGACCGTGTTGGTGCCGGTCGGTGATACCATGAGTCAATTGAACTTGGTGGTGTCGGTCGGCAGGAACTTGAATCAATTGACCACGTTGGTCGGTCGACGAGATCTTGTGTTAATCGACCGCACTGGTGTTGGATACCGATTGGTCCTCACTTTGAGAATTTGATCGACTTTGAGGGTTATAGCCGATCGACCAGAGTGTGGTCTGTCGGCTTGCCTATTGCTTGGTGATCTTTGGGGGAAGTGTTGAAAGAGCCTCAGCTTGATACTTGTGAGATTGCTGGGGGTATTAGACCTTTGTCCTGTCATTGGGGTGAATATTTGTTTTTGGTCGGCCTGGGTAAACCTTTGGTCGGTTGCTAGCCATTTGGTCGTCTTGCTGTCAATTGGCTGGCAGTTCTACAACCGGTAGGCTTCACGAGTACTTATGATTGTTTGTTAGAAGAATATACTTTGTTTTATCTCATTTGATCGGGATCGTAAGTTGTCTCAAGATTCGTGCATACATTTTTGGGCATATAAATCAGTTATCGCCTCATTTGATCGGGATCGTAAGTTGTCTCAAGATTCATGCAGACATTTTTGGGCATATAAAGTTGTTAGAACCTAACAATAGCATTTTGTCATCAACAGAGGCCAAGTGATTCCAAACATTAAAACTAAGGCAAAACTCACTAGTTTTTATCATTCATTTGATTGCACGGCACAATGCCCAAGCATAAAAAATATACATAGACCAACTCAAAGGGATGATCAATTCGAGTTCATTCGGATCCCAACTAGGCTAATTATTCACGAGCTATTTTATAATGTTAATATGAATTTTAAAAGTGTCGAGCTAAGGCCAACTGGAGCACTTGTTCAATATATAAGTCAAATGCCAACAAAATTCATAAGTTAGTAAAATATTATTGTTGGCCCATAGGTACAATATGATAATCTGAGTATCCTCCGAGGCCAGAATATGAGAAGGGCTAACTAAGATTTACCAATTCTCCGCCAAATCGCATTTTTTCTGAATGGCAAATTATCAGTCTCTTCAAGCCCTTTTCTTCGTTCCAATGCCCTTCAACGGTTGAAAATGAAATTATTATCTCTAATTAGTAAACTGTCCATCGACATTACCGCAGCTAGCGAGATCACGTCGAAGATTCAGCGAGGCGGAGAGAGAGAGAGAAAGAGAGTTGATTGGGAGGAGAATGGCGGCGGATGGAGAGGGTAAAAACGTCGCCACGGCTATTACAAGTGCTGCTGCGGAAGGGGGAGAAGAGAATGATGGAGGAGAAGAGAGCGTGAAGCTATTCGTGGGTCAGGTGCCGAAGAACATGACGGAGGAACAGCTGCTCGCAATGTTCAAGGAGGTGGCCCTTGTTGACGAAGTGAATATCATCAAGGACAAAGTCACGAAAGCCTCGCGGGGTAATCGATTTCTTCTTATTTTCTCTCGATTCGTTTCATTCGTATTCGTCGCTTTTGGCCGGATCTCGGGAATGCTGGCTTTTAAATTTGACTTAATGGTGGATTTACTGGTCGCACTGGCCTTTCTGGCCTCATGATTTATTTCTCGCAGGTTGCTGCTTCTTGATCTGTCCTTCTAGGCAGGAAGCCGACAAGGCAGTCAATGCCTGTCACAATAAACGAACGCTCCCTGGAGTAAGTTTCGATGTCAATCTTGCTTTCCATTCGTACTTTTCTTGGTCTGAGTTATTTTGATCTTGCCTTTGTGATTGGGAAAAGCTGGGGGCAGGTAATGTTTGATTCAGATTTTCGTTTTTGTGTTCAACGTATGAGAGCTGATACCGGGGCTATGTCGTAAATGTATTTCGTAGACCAACATCCAGATTTACTTACGGATTTTAGCGGAGCTAGAATGTTCTTTATCGGGTTTTTTTTGTAATAAATATATACTTATAAAAATGGAAATTTTTTCAAACCTGTGTTGAGAAACCATGATCCTCAAGTAACTATAGCGCGATATAGTCATGCAAATGCAGGGAAATATGCTGTCTGGTAACGGATTTAGAGCATGATTTAAGCTAAATCTTGCCAGGCAGTCATTTTGGACAAGATGAAGGCGTGGATTTGATAAATTCGGATTTGGCGGATTTCGGCCGTAAATACCGTAAATCCTAAATCCCACAAATCGGTGTGCTTACAAGATTTATGGGATTTACAACGAGAGCGATTGGGATCGCAGTGGATTTACACAGAACTTGCCAAACCGTTTTAATGGATTCGCGGGATTTAGAAGATTTCATTGCGAGACGGTTTTTCATTCAGGATTTATTAAATCCGGATTTACAGGATTTAGTAAATCCGGATTTACTAAATACTAATAACTTAAAATAAATCTTTTACCTAACAGTCCTTAAAGAATCGGAGCAACTTTCTATAGTTTTGTCGGGTTTGCGGCAAGGCTTGGATTTTACTATATGTGACAATGCATAAAAAAATCCTCCCTATGTGAAGTCCGAATTGAACTTGGTAAGCCCTAATTGAAGTAGGTAATGTGGATTTTATTCAATTGGCTGGGCTTGTTTGAATGAAAATCTCTCTTCAGAGAAGTCATATCTTGATAAGGGTTACGGCTTGACTCAATGAAAAGGCATTCAACATGCTGACGAGTTAATGTTCATACCAATGGATTTTACTCGTATTAGTGTTTTCAAATAATAGATGTTATTTTCCGTGCTATAGATAGCTATCTTGAGCGTCCATCTTGACTCGTAGAATAATTTGATTAAAAATGTGAAATTTAAGGAAAATACTTAATGATCTTTGTTTTAAATAAATCCATTTCCAGGTTTTAAATCAAGATGAACAAGAGCTAATTAGAAAAAAAGGATGAACTCAGTTCACCAAAAGATTTTGATGTGGTAAGATTTTGTTGCATTGCAGATGTATGGGTGCATTAATTTAGCAAACTGGCTTGAAGAACCAATTGGTAGGATGATTGTGACTCCTACTTTCCATTGTTATGTTTAGGAATAAAAATGTAGAGGGAGATAGGAAGAGAAGATCCACTAGCAAGTAATTTTTCTTGTAGTGATTTTATTTAATTATAATTTTCATGCACTAAAAATCTCATTTTCCTTTACTAGAAATCTGTTCTCCCAATGTTCTCTTCGGATGTTGTCTCTGTTGGTTGGGTGAGGAGAGGCTATAGTGCTTCACACCCTTCTTTGGTTGGCATCACTACAAAGGTGTGATGCAGGAAAAGCTTATAAAATGAAAATAACTTAATACCCATCTCAATATAATTTTATTCAAATTTTTATTATAATTTTTTCTCTGGAGTTTGATAATTTACTTGAAAGGCGGTAGTTAAAAGTTGGTAATTAGAAGTTGGTTGGTAGTTGATAATAGTTGAAGTGAAGGAAGGTATTTCTAGTTTGATTGAAGCCAATTATGATCCCTCCCCTTCATTTATGTTGCAAGTCATCATTAACATCATTAATGAAGGGACTTACAATTTAATTCAATTTGAATGGTTACATTTCATGATAAATTAAATTGAGGAGCTACAAGATCATTGCAAGCATCATTAATGTGCCGATTTCATAAGCATTCAAAATAGACTTTAAAATTCAAATGTGATCTTATAATTTAAGCATTCAATTCAAAGGCTTCTAGAATTTAAAATATGGAGTTTACAAAAATCACTCAATGCTTTATTTAAGTCATTGGGTCTATTAAAATTCAAAATCAAATTTGGGAGTTACACAACCTTTTTTATGTTGAAGATAAACATAATTTGAATATAGATGAATGAAATAGAAAATCTTTGCTTTGTTCTCAAATTTATGTTATTCTTGCAATAGAGCTTCATAATTTAGGCTTAGTTTTCCAAATAACCAAGTTGAGCTTGACCAAGCTCATCATTTCTCTTATCCTTTATCCCTCTCTCCTCTCTACTCTCTTTTCTCATAAAAAATTGATGCAACAATCCTATCCTTACAATTATTTTAGCTCTCAATTATTTCTCTCTCTGAGCCTTTCCTCCAACAATCGGTTCCTATTCTTATCCACCACCACTACACTTTCGTATCATGGTAAAATATTCTATCTCATCATCTTGGATACTTCAAGGAGAGAAATTGAAAGCTAAGAATGCTTACCCACCAAGTCAATAAGCCTTATGAAATTTGAAGAAAGAACTCTCCAATAATATTCAATAATTTGCTTCAATGAGTGGTAGATTTTTTTTTCAATCCTGGGTAAGTTTGTCTAGTATATTTGTTGAGATCCTTAATTGATACATTATTACTTGTATAGAATTCAATAGTCTTACATGTGTCTTGATAAGCTTAAGTGGTAATTGATTTCATTGAAGTACTAAACACCACCTTAAGCCTTACCCAATCCATTATGAACCGACCAAACTCTTTATATACTTGAGAGTTAATTGTGGCAAGATTTGTGCTCCACAATAAAATAATTCTTAACCCTTGAGAGTGATTTAAAGTCACAATCATTGGGGTATAAGTGTAAGCTATTTTGGTTTTAATCTCTAACTTATAGATGCTTTTGCTTGAATGAGTAACACATTGGTTGTAAACAAAGTGAAGCATCCCAAGGTTTTGGGTTGAAGCGTTCACCTTAACCCGAAAAAAAAAAAACTCATAAATGCCTATTTATATTTATAAAATTAGTTGGTGACACATACAAGAAAGCTATAAAATATTATAGTTACTCATAATTTCTTTGTTAAATATTATTCATTTCTTATATAGAATTTGGGTAATTTAAATTTAATTTGTGAAACATTTTTTTTATTTGTAGGTGCAAAAACAGAAAAAGCCCAAAAAATTTAATAATTTCTCTCTTAAAGTATACAAGTGACTTGTGTAGATGCAAACCTAATAGAATTTTATCAGAAAGACTTAAATTACTTGAGGAGAAAAGCATAATATTCCCATGAAAGATTCTTGTAAACCTTTCATAACTTAATTCAACCACTATATTTTAAAATAATTTCTTTTTCTTTATTTCTTCTAAAATTCTTTCAAAAGCACCACGACATTTGCATTCTCATTAGTTATTAGCTAACGTCATGGACCCTAATTCCTCTTATTAGCCAATGAGAAAGGATAAATGGGTTGTCAAAAGTTACATGATTAGAAATGAGGATCATTGCTAGATGAAATTTGAACTAGAAATTAGGGATGGTGAAAAACCTAACAATTCATAAAACTCTTCAAGGAATATTAGGATTTTTTTGTTCAATATAAGGACAATAATTAGAACTCTCCAATATAAGTAGTGTAACCCATTCCCTCTCTTACCATACATTATAACTTTATTATCATAACTTGAGAAACAATGAAACCTTTTGACTATTTATAATCTGTAATAGCAAATGTAGGATGATCATTGGTGGGAACAATACATTATTCCATTGTGTATCTACTTAAACACTGTGAAGAGCTAACCTAAAATTTGAGCCCTGTCATCACACTTTTCATGTTACTGGGATATAAACTAGTCATTGATTTTGACATGTAGGTGCCTTGTTCCCATTAAATTAGGTATCCATGAAGATAAAATTTGATGTAATGCCTTCTTTTAGGTGTACATATCATTTTAGGAAAACTGTGAATTGATAATATGAATGTTATGTATGAGGGTCATGATAATATCTATATAAAACATAAAAGCAAACATATCAAAATATACTCATTCAAACCCACGAAGGAATTTATACCCCAACATAAATCTCATAAATCGTAACAGGAATCCATCACCTACAATAAAATGACTGCCCTCTAATCTTGGAAACAATTATTAATTAATAAATCAATCATTTAATGAGGCTTTGTTTCTTGAAAAAAATACATTATTATTTGTTAAGAGTCACATGAATACTTTAATTTGAGATGCACTTATTGAATCATCACCGTATTCATACACTTCCTCTGATCTCTTTTGACATTTATATTTGGAATGCAACATTACACATTTGATATTTTTTATGATCTACTCATTAGTGTAGCTTTTGAAGGTCCTATCAATTCAATTCCAATGATTGAAATTTTGCCCTCATGCACTGGAAGGTGAAAACTGCATACACGCTATCAACCGAAATAATAAGTTTAACCACCTTATGGAAGATGACCTATCCTACTACTTGAGACACAATTGTTGTGATCTCAAAAACTCATCATGCTCCAAAACTTATACTTGATTTATATTAATCTGATGCTATGAAAAGTATTAAAAACCATAACATGTATACTGCTAAAAAAGGCTTATTCATGAGATCACCTAATCTAATACATCATTTATTTCAACATAATATATCGAAACTACTACAAAATTTCATGTTCTTCATTTACATGTGCTAAAATCGTTTGACATAAGTAATATTAACTATATATAGCTATCTCCACAAGTATCCATCATATGAGTATATTAATAAAATTTATACATTATCTCACCCTCATTTTTACTACATAAAAATGAACAAATTGTCAAAATGGTCCCCAGATTCTTTGCAAGGGAACATTTTATTCCGAGAGTTTGTCCCCATACCATATAATATGGGTTGAAATAGTCCTTAATGAGGAAGATTTTGACTTCCATTAAAACAATATGGAGACTAATTTAGCACTTTTATAAACTTTGGGACTAAAGTGACCCAATGTAAATAGCCA